TCAGCAACCAGTGCTCTACATAGAAAGCCTTAAACTACTATCTAGCTGAGAGACTCCACAGGCAGCATTACACTGTACTCAATATCTAGATTTGCTGTTTGGAATATATTGGTCATTTCAGATAGGTTGCCAAAAAAAGATGAACAAAACTCCCCCTTCGGCTACCAGAAAGCAGCTGGTTCTCATTTGGGTAAGAATCCTTATTTCCTTATCTATTCATTTTCTCTTACATCACATGAATTGCACTGTTAGAGCAAAAGTTGTGAAAGACTAGTTCATTGAGACATGTAACATAGAAACACAAACCCCCATTTCAATCTTTATGTTGACCTGGTCACTTCATCTGTATGAGCCAAGCAGTCAGCATACCTGGGAATCTCCAAGAGAAATGAATGTACTACTTAAGTTAGGATGATGATTCAGTAACTGACACACTTCTGTGATTTGAAACTCAACCAACATCTTGGCATGACACTGTCTTGCACTGCAAACGGCTTTCTCCTTCCTCAAATGGTGCCCATATTTAGGAACATAACCAAAGAATGAGAATGATAAGAACTATCACCTGCGGAACGTGTAGATTTGACACAAAGTTGGCTGTTTGTTTCTTAGTATCTGTTTAACTCATGCTTTTTGAGGAGAAAATGTTACTTGCAGATCTGATTCTAAGCAAAGAAATAGGAAAACTCAACTCTGTTACATGCAGTCTCAAGGAAAGTGGGAAGACAAGATTTGATGGTATAATAAACACAGCTGGAGGCAGATCAAAGCAACACAGGCACTTTTCAACAAGATGACAACTTTCAATATCCCAGTTTTTTACCCTCTCAGCAATACCCAGTTCCCAATGGCTTTCAAAGATTCAGGCACCTGCCCCACATTCATTCAAGACTCCTTTCTCCACGTTATCTCCAGCTATGACAAACTGCAGACAAACCAGCAGATTCCATTTGCCACTTTGCTGCCGGCTTGCGGTTTACCCTCACATAAATTGCTCAACCGCTATACTCCTCTTTTATAGCCACCTTATTTGTGAAGTAAAAAACCCACCCTATTATTAATACACTTAATACTTCTTAAAATGCTTCAAGCTTGCACTAGAGGTACATTATAAATACATAGCTAAATTACTAACATCCAAAAATAACAGGAAAAAGACTTGTTGGTGGATTAGCTACATATGATCAATGCCAAATCAAAATCTACTCTGGTTTTTGCTGAGGTCATTTAGTGCTGTCCAATTCTCCTGAAGTATTTCTGAAAGTGGGGAATGCTCCGAGATTAAGCAATACATTACATTTTTTGATCAAATGCCAGAAGCCATAGGTGAATAGGAAACAGACATCAGTAATTACAGTTTGTACTTCAGCTATTTCAAAACCCCTTGCTTCAACGAGCAAGTATTAACTGGACAGACACTCCTTCACAAATTAGAGGTTGCAAAGGCTTATTACACACCATATTTATCTTTGAAACTTGTCCAACAGAATTAAACTAAAAAAAATAAAAAATAAAAAGTAATGATACAGATTATGGTCGCAGGCAAAACACTATTAAAACTCTAACAACTATATATATGTTTTTATCTGTCAAACTGTCCCTGAAGCCACTCTTTGGTTTAGGAGCTCAGGAATGCAGTATTAAGAAATATGAGTAATTGTATTAGTATGCTGTTGTCAAACTTCAAACCAGCTGTATTTTACCTAGAAGTTGATAAAACTATTTCTTGACTGTGTAGGCCTTAGAACACAATAGAATTGCAAGAACACAAGTCTGGACTATCCCCAAATGGAAGTAGAAATGGAAAAGTACAACACCCACGTGAGCAGAAAGCGTACAATGAGGAGAGCCCACACTGCTTAGTGCAACAGTGCACAGAGCCAGCAACTTGACATCAACCAGTCTACGGTAAAACCAAAAGCAATCTAACCACCTCACTGCATTATAGAACCCAACAACAAACTTAGTTAAGAGGCCTCACTGGCAAAGTTCAGCACATAACCAAGCTAGATTTGGGCAGGCCAGGCAGCTCAAGGTACAACTATTGTTCAAGGAATTAATTGTGAAAGAACATTCTCCTCTCAAAGTCAGTTCTTCCATTTACTCCGAGAACCCCACTTAGGAAACTACATGATTTTTTCCTTAAATGATCCAAGACTACTCATGATATCCAAGAGAGTACCATGACTATAGCTGGAAAAGGTTATGAAATTGTGGAGGAAAAACTGGGGCAAAACCAGTGCAGGCATTTATGTTTTTCAAGGCTTCTGAGGGTAGGAAGTTGCCTAGATAAGGCTGCCTTTCACCTGTTGCCCAACTCAAGATATCATCATGTGAACTCCTAATAAATATTTGGCTTCACAACAGATTTGTACTGAAAAAAGTAACATAAGTACATTACTCTAGATACATAATTTCAGTCAGATGAGGAGACAGTGCAAACTTTCCATTTGCTGAAAGAATTATTATTACATCTCAAATTTAGTTCAGTGTAAGAGATTATATATTTAAGCTGATTAAAAAGGTTTCAGTTAACTGCAACGAGCATTTGGATTGTTTTAACACTCTTCAAAACCAGGAAAAGTTAAGCCTCAGAGCAGAGTTTTACTTGTTTGGCCAAAATTCACAACACAGAGAAAAGCTAAAGAAGAAGAGTCAGGAATGCAAGACATTTTAGAATGAGATCTGCAGCTTGTAATGTTTGTTAAAGTGTTCATGTCTTTATTACATAATTTAGAGGATCTCTATAAAGCTGTATAAGGCTTTTGTATTTTCCCTGTTAATCAGGTTATTTTTTAATATAGTATAATTCTAGGAATTAACTAATATTCTTAATGAATACTTAAGGTAGATCAAAATACTTGAAGTATGATCATTTTTTAAACTCGCCAATCAAGTAACCCAGTGCAATCCCAGACTGGTTTGTGTTGGAAGCAACCTTAAAGCTCCTCCAGTTCCAACCCCTCCCATGGCAGGGACACCTTCCACTAGAGCAGGTTGCTCCAAGCCCCTGTGTCCAACCTGGTCTTGAACACTGCCAGGGATGCGGCAGCCACAGCTTCTCTGGGCACCCTGTGCCTCAGCACCCTCACAGGGAAGAACTTCTTCCCAATGTCTAATCTCCATCTCCCCTCTTTCAGTTTAAAGCCATTCTGCACTTGTCCTATCACTACTCACTCTTACAAAATGCCCCCCTCCAGCTTCCTTATAGGCCCCCTATATTCTGCATGATTTCTAAACATTATTATTATTATTATTGTTGCATTATTAATGGCCTAACATAAAACTAATTGGTTATTTTACCTGAAAAATATTACAGGTGACTGGGTAGGCAGTGCTATGACAGACACAACATGTCAAGTTCTCATACAATAGGTGTTTTCTGAGGGTTTGGATTTCTTTTAAAGCACATTTTCATACCAAACAGATCCTTACAATAAGATCTTTAACCTGACGAATCAATAGTTACTGTTAAAAAGCAACTACGACAAGAAAACACATTGCATCATTTTAATACACACTACTTTTAAATGTTTAATGGAATACTGCTGCTGTTTTCAGCACAAAATTATCAGCATCATTCTGCTTTTCAGTATATAATAAGCAAAAAGGTCAACTGTAACGCTTACCTACCAGATGCTTAACAAAGTAACAGAAATTATGGACAGAATGCCTGTGAGTTTTGGCCAGGAATATTTGTAACTGAGAAAAATCCTGATGAAGTTCATGGTGTAATCCATTTATGCAAGCAGACATGCAATTTGCCTTTATAATCATTTTACTATGAGATACTACTTGCTTCCTTCCACACCAAAGTTTCTGAAGCTAATGTAGTTTGTAAACCATAGTGCAAGATTTATGATGTTATACTGCAGAAACCTGTTTAGCCCCTGATTTACAATCCTGGCAATTGTATTCAACTCTGTCATCGTAACTAATTACAGCTAACTGCAGATTACCATATTGCAAACTCTCATCTTTGTGAAAGAAATACTACATTCTGCTAAAAGAGAAAAAGAATCAAACACCCTGAGGGCTAATGAACAAAAATGCACTATTCTGTGTTGGACTGCAAACCCAACCTCCTCGAATTGGTGCCGTGAAACTTCAAATTGCTATTTGTTGGCAAGTCGTTTTAGCCTCGAGTACTCACATAGTAAATCACCATTAGGCTAATACCATACCTTTGGCCTGAAACATATTAATCTTGATTAACAATAACTGACATTTACATTACCAGTTCAATTCAGGCATTGTGGTGACTAAACACACATGCAAGAGCTTCAGGGAGAAAAGTTGTTATTTCTCAGTGTGTCCTTACTTTTCACTCAGAACAATTCGGAAAAAACATCAATTCTTGTTATAAGATTATAACATAAACATTCAAATCCTAATTGATCTGTAAAAGCTGGACTTGGAGTAAAACCTGCCTTTGTTTCTTGGGTGCAGTTATCTGCACAACATAACATTTCAGGTATTTTTCAAGATAAGTATTTGTATAATTTACCTGCTAAAAGAAACTGGGACTTTGAAAACTTGGTTTCTTGCGAAGGAAAGGAAAATGGGAATTTGAAATATACTGAAGAACATGGCACCAGGACAAATAGTAGATCCTTCCAGGAGAGGAAGGATGGGCTTTTGCAGCCACTTTTTTCCCCCCAATTATATTTAGTAAGTCCATAAATGTATAAATAATAATGGTTTTGCACAGGTGGGGTGGTTTTGCTTTTCTATATTTAGTGGGTTTCCCCACCCTCAACTTTCAAGCAATCAGAAAGGTAGTACTTACTGCATTAAGTCTGTACAACCTCAGTAGGAAAGCTTATCCCACTCCCTTTACCCAAGCATTACAACTGCCATGCAACACAGAACACACTTGGACCAAGTATTTTATTCCAACTTCAGAGAATTCCCTACCAGACTCCAAATGCATTCTGCAATGCCTTATCTTAAATTTTCATATTTTGGGGAAAAATACTGTATTTCACATAGCATTGGTATTTAGATAGTATTTTTACTACATTATAAGAGAGAGACAAAACAAGATGCTGCAATCTAACAGCGTTAAGAGAAACACAAGGAATTTGATGTGCTGGGGTTTGTTTTTGGGTTTCTTTTGTGTTTAGATTTAAGAAGTTGCCCACAGAGCGCCCACAAAAATTCTTCGAGTAAAAACAGGTATTTAAGTCCTGAGGAAAACAGGATAGATTACATGTATCCCATGTTGCTCTTTGTTTCCCACCTTTTCTTGGCTTCAAATCTGAAACAGAGCACAAAACCCACATTAGGAATCTTGAGTATGCACATTTCGGGTACTCATCCTAACGACGACAAGAACAAAACCTTATTTTTAATACTGCAACAAAGACATGAAGGCAAATGTAGCCATATAACCAGTACATTAATTCTGGTAAAGCCTCTATTCTTAAGTCTGATTCACTGCTTAAAAAGAACCCCAACATAAAAACCCCCAGCAAGGTTAAAACTAAACAAATAAGATTAGCACAAGCCTATTTCAACTAAGAAAACATTTAACTGAGATTGTATTGTATACACTTAGTGCCAATGAAACCACACATGTTTAATTCCATACTCAAATGACTTACCCCCAAGCAAGCTTCTTTTTCTTTTGAGCTTCTTGGGCAGCCTCTGCTTCTTGCTTGGCTTTTACAAAGTTGCGGCAAGCAGCAGCTTTGGCAATTTTCACACCAAGCTAAGACATAAAAAAGGAACAAAGGAAAACTGAATAGATGCAAATGGCTCATGTGAAATTTAAGCCTCACAAATTACTTGGTCCAATATTGTTTCTCAAAAGTCAATAGATATTTTAATATCTTTCAAATATGAGGCCGATGCTGTGCTATTAGATCAGATGAGCAAGAATGTTTCTGGAATGAAATACAAAGGAATGGGATCCTGGAGCAAGCAATCCTTTTCACCACATCCTTCATTTTCAAGAATAAAAGCAAAGGGCAATAGCCCACTAGATCCTTTTGTTTGTTTTTTTAAATAAATATATACACATACCCACACAATCTCCATTATTAGGACCAGTCTGTGATCTCAGCTGTGCCAACATAATAGCATCACCTGATTCCAATACGAAAAACACCCAAAAAAGACAGTTTTATACAGGAAGAACTGCTACTACCACACATTTTCCAGTAGTCTGAGTGGTCATGTTTTAATCAGTCTGTCCAGAAAGCAAATGAAGCAGTGTCCTTAGAGTCCATCTGGCACTTAGTCTTCACATTACCAGCTTTTAGATTATTAGTGTGATAATATGCATGCTTTTCAATTAAGGTCCTAACAGGCTGTAGGTGAATACTACTTTGCTTTCATAAACTTACTCACTCTGAGAATTAAGTTCACTTTAGTGAATGTCATGGGGGGGGGGAGGGAAGTGGAATAGAGCAAAAGAGATTGAAGAAGATCCTGTGAACTATGACCTGACCATTTTCCTTAAGCAGCAGCAGCATTCATAACTTGTTCATTGTTGTTAAGTTCTGTGATTGCTGTCATGACTTGACATTATCTGCCACTAAATTATGAATGATGGAAGAATTTTGTCTCAAAAGTTACCACTTTTCTCCAAGACAAACAAGCAATTCGTTTAGCCAGAGGTGCTACAAGCTGATGTGGACAAACAGGTTTTTCTTCCTAACCACTCCAAAGCCTGCTGGAGTTAGCTAACAGCTTCTGACTGGGTCTTCTACATTTCTCCAAAACATCATGGGAGCATTAAACGACAGGCATGGGAGACCCTTAGGTCTCTTAGGACACTCCTTAAGACTTTGGTGAGAGTTCCATTATTAATAGTAATATACTTCAATAGCCTGTGAGCATCTATACATGCAATTCTTATTTACTGAGAAGGCATCTTTGGTTGTAGATACACTGACACATCTGTTACGGGTCTCCCATCAAATACCCACTATGTAAGGAAGGTCGATACCCTGATCATTTTGTCAACAAAGCAAAACAAACCAGCACCACTACAAGCTATTCTACCTTACAGTCCTTATGGTGCAACGTAGCCTTTCTGCAGAAGGCTTTGAGAGCCTACATGTGTGTAGGCACTAAGCACAACATCAGTTTGTGCTTTGTTTGAGGCTCCAAACACTAGGAACACAAGCATAACATTTTAAAAAGAAAATGTGCAAAATAAATAATGCAAAAGAAGGTTTTTGTCTACATAAGGTCACAAATATGTACCTGTGGAATCATCTCGATGCACAAAATAATTCATATGACCAGACATTTTAAAACTTTTATATTATTAGCTACATCATTTGTCCTCTGAGCATTAACATTTTATATAATCAGTAATTCAATGCCAACATCTGAACTGCCAAATCTCAAGTCAAAGACTGGAACATATAACATTCTCTTATTTGCATTGTCACTTACTATTTAAGGGCAGCTATTAATTTTAATGCTTGCGGTATAAAAATGCTGAAGAAAACTCACCTAAAAAAGAAATTCAAGAAATGCTTTTTAATTGAAACAGGACAATTAGTAGCTTAATAACCAGAGCAAACTAACGGCTGAAGTCAATTAGCACAACCATGACTATTTCTGAACTGTGTTTTACTTCCTAACACACTTTAAAATTCACTTTTTCCTATATAATGAGTAACAGCAGCTCCTTTAAATATATTCTAATGGCCTATTGAACCTTAGAAATATACAAATATACATGTGAGGTGTACACAAGTGCTGCAGAAAAATATTTTGATCAGTATTTCTTGGTAGACAGAATGAATTCTTCAGTCTTTGAAAAGTACAGGAAAAAAAAAAGGGATAAGACCCTCCATAGTGTATATGGAAGTAAAAGGAGAAATATTTTGCAGCATTAACATTATAGTTTCTAGGCTACAGAGGCAAATTTTCCAACATGAAAACAAATATATTGCATATAAAACACACACAAACATTTTAGTCAAGATTAAATGTCTCCTGCTCCCGCCCACACCCAGACATACATCTTTTCCCTCCCCTCTCTCCCCACAAAGAAATCCATAAAAGCTTGGTCAATGGGTTTTACATTAAGAAAAAAAACCCCAAACATTTCAGGTCATCAGATAACTCAATAAAATACAATCTTAAAAGAAGTAAGAAAGCACGAATAAAAATATATACAACAATTTCTTGTGTAGTCAAAGTATCAGCATTTTCCATATAGAACATCCAATATTTTGCTGCATTTTAATTAAGGTGTCTAAACATTATCACAAAGAACTGCAAATTGGTCAGAGCACGCAGTAAGGAAAATTAAGCTCTAAAGGCTTTTTATCACCATATTTCAGGAACCAAGGGTGTAAAATGTTCTAATTTGGGATATATTAAAAGCCATAAAAGGTCTTTCAAAAAGATTAATGGTACTTTGCTTGGATTTAAGATAAGGGCTTTAGCTGGTTGGAAAAGCAGGGCCCTGGCTAGACCCTTGAGGCATTCATCTTTACAGCCACTTGGAAGATTTGTAAAAGCGTCTGCATAACCTCAAGCAAACGCACTGCGACATTTTTTTTCTCTAAATTCCTTTCAATTTTACAGGTTTAAAGTGTGTAAATCATATTGGGTAGTAAAGCTGATATATAATGGTTCATCCTTGTAACACTATATATATATCTACACACACGCGCATGCACACATATGTATTTTTAAGACAAACTTAACAAAAACAACTTAGTTGCTACAGGGCAAAGATCCTTCCATTTTGAAGTTGACCAATAATCATGTCAAATATCTTCCCCTAGATGTTTAATGTAGCATAAAGAAGAATTTTCTACTCATCTGAAATTGTTACCTTGTAACACATTTCTGAAGCTTGGCTTCTTTTTGAAGAGTTTCAAGGAGTTTATTTAAAAATACCAATTATCATACTTTAACTTTTTATGGAATAACAGGTCTCGATGAAAAATATTTATGTCATTTTCTTTTGTTCTTTAATTAAATGAAAACAGATGTTTTCTGAAGTAAAGCGGAACCATTACTGGAGTACTTAAAGTGTTAAGGTCTTTAATTTTTATATCAGTTTGGTCTACAATTCCTGATTGTCTTTACTCAAGCTCAACATTAATGTCAAGCAAGTTACCTAGGAGACGAAAGAGATCAAAGAGACAAAAAACCCTCAAATGTCTGATTAATCAAGCCTGCAAACAGCTTATTTCTTTTAGCCTGCATGCAAGTATGAAAATGAGATTCTGGGAGCCGTACATTGTGCAGATTTGTTCATTCTTATCAGAACAAAGCCAGCGGCAGCTTATTTCATGGATCATTGGCACTGTCATCAGTGCTACACAGAACGGGTGACAGCTCCTCATTTTGAGGCTTGAACAAAATTAGCAAAAAGTCGGCACAAATTAGCCTCTCATCTTTTTAGTAATATGACATTATTCATTTACTTTTTATCCAATTTTTAATTTTTTCCTTGTCAGCTATCCCTTTCTAGTGTTTCTTGCACAGCACCATAAAACACTTCTAAAACAACCAAAGAAATGGCTGAAGTTGAAATAGGATGTAAAGTTCAGGCAGAAGAGTAAACATTTTTATTAAGTTGCAGCAGAAACTACTGTAATTTCCAGAAAACTTCCTTGAAAAATCAAGACATTTCACATTAAATAGCATTAAGCATGGACTTCTCATTAAGACAAACTGTGCAAGTAAATGCTGAATGATAAAAGTAATGAGACAACAGATTCAAGAACTGCTCCAGAAATATTTAGGTACGAGACACAAAATGCTAAACCTACAGAAGCTCCCACAAGACATCTATATTCAAACAGGTCCCAAAATATCCTGTGATCATACCAGAGAAGCCAATCAGCCTTTTAATACAGTGTTACAGTTTCTCATCAAATATGAATCTGGCTATTTCAGGCTTGCCTCTAGCAATGATTTTCTCCTTTTATGTTATGGAATGTCATCCATTGCTGACGTATATAAAATGTATAAAGCAAACAAGAATACCGAGTGGATTTTGCAGTGAAAATTGTCCCCTTTCAATGGCATGCTCAACTTCCACTGTAAAATACTTTGTAATACCTTTGTTGTATTTTTATGCTGTGTATTACAACACCAAGTGATATTTGGATGACACAGTAATGGAGCAAGGACAGAACCCTTTGCCAGATTTAAACCCTAATATTAAACCCTTTGCTAGATTTAAGCATTTAAATGCAAGTAACTTCTTCCATTCATGAGAAAACCCGGCATTAAAAAATTAACTATAAGCTGTTAGATGCTTTACACAGCCCCCTTATAACAAAGGCAGTTTTAAAAAAAAGAACTGTAGTACTGTTTTCAGCAATTTCTTTATCTCTGTTCTTCTAAGTAAGAAAGCTTATTAACAAGCTTTGAACTTAAAATCACATTTACAATAATGTGCCATCAACAGTTTTATAAGCTAATTAGAAAAAAAGATTAATTAATGACTGGCTGCTAATAAAATGGCAATCATGAAGAAAGAAACCAAGGGTGCTAAGCTTCAACTACCACCAATTAAGAGCTAATTACAAACAAATTATATATGTGTTTTGCTGTGGGCTTTAATTTACTAAAATGGTTTTAATTAAAAGAGAAAACATGCTGATTAATTGAACTGCAGAAAAAAAATCTACAGTATAAACTGTGCTTTGTCTGTCTCTTTAATTAGACTTGTAACATCTGAAATCTTTTTTTAAGGTTTGTTAAGGCAAAGATATACATAAT